TCTCTCTCGTCGATCGAACCCACACCCACACACCGAGGTACCAGAGCCACCCCGACGACGGCGCAATAGCACCACCACACGCACAGAGACTCTCAAAACTCTCATCTCTCTCCGTCCTTTCTCTCTGCAGTCTGCACCGAGAGTCCGAGAGTCCGAGATTCACACATGCTTCAGGAATACACCCCACCCGCTTCGACGACGGCTTCGTCCCACACCCTCACCACCACGACGCCAGCGAGAAGCGAACATCGGCACCCATTCTCCTCCTCCCCCCGGAGCCTGCCCCGCCGGCGCCGCGCTCGCCTCCGTCTCTGTTCCGCATCTGCTTCAACCCAAGATCAGCCAGATCCCTCTTCGTTTCCTCTTACTCATTCTCCCTCCGCCGCCTCCCTTCCTCCTCTTCCTCCTTCGGCTTCATCACCATCGTCACCGAGATCAGCCAGATCGGCATCGTTGAGGCGCAGATCTTGGGTTTGAGCATGGATTGCAGAGAGATCTGGGCAACTGGGGGGACGACGCAGCCTCGGCTGCCTTTCCGACGACGGATCAACGACGATTTTTTCGATAATATCAAAAATATCGCGATATTATCGATATTATCGATAATATCGCGATATTTTGACGATAATGAGACGGATACCTCAGAAAATATCGGAACCTCAGAAAAACGATAATATCGGCGAAATATCGCCGATATTATCGATATTTAATTCCATGGGAGAAACACAAAATTTAACATAGGATTTCAGATTGCCACATTAACTATCAATTGAAATTTGACTACTTAATTTGACATTTCCATTGAAAGTGATCTAATGAGATTTTTTTTTTTTTTTTTTTTTTTTTTTTTTGGTTTCAAAAAGTTTAGGTGAGAGGAGGCTGGAACCTATTAGGCTAAAAGAGTAATTGATATTTTTGAACAAACTATATTATCTACACTAAGAGGTGAGAAAGTGGAATAAGTCTCACAACGGATTAGTAATAATGTGATTCAAATTCACAATTAATAAAAATCAAACCTAAAACTTTTCACTTATAAATAAATCAGTAATGAATTTGTCTTTATTAACAATAACATGGCCTATGGATAGTTTGGTTTGGTTTGATTTTGACCATACCACTATTGAAACCAAACCAAACAAGTCATTATTAATCAGTTTGGTTTGGTTGGTTTAAACCTATTCCAACACATCAATTAAAATGTCCAGTATTTTATATTTTTAATTTTCTGAAATTCAAACATCTCAAGCATTCCAATTCAATCAAAATATTAAGTTTTTGAAACATAAAATTTACATCAAATCAACAAGACTAAGTTTTAGCTAAATTAAATTTCACGTTAGCAAACAATTTTGTTAGTTGCAATCTCATATAAGCATAAAATGCAGACAAATCTCTAATTGTTACAGGTCATTACAACTTGTAATATGTGCATGACAACACATCAAAATAACCTACGTACATTGACATTTGTATAATAAATAAAACAAATAATTACAAGAGATATGATAGGTTCGGTTTAGTTTTGATCAGTTTTAAAAGTATAAAAATCGAACCAAACTAAAAATAAATCGGTTCGGTGTGGATTTAAATTGTTTGACTTTTCTATTAGTCAAAATCAAACCAAACCGACCAAAATGATTCTAATTTGTTAGTTTAGTTGCTTCGGTGCCCACCCATAATTTATTTGTTCAAAAAAGCACTTACATATTGTGTGTTTTGAGCTTAGATGTGCTCATTGTTGGAATTTTTATTTATTTATTTATTACTTACATGTTAAGGCTCACGTGGTTTGATGGTGTCAACGCTAATTTTAGTGATGGAAAGGGCGGACACTGGATAACGCGGTTCAATATGGGGTTGGAATCACAGTTGGTATCGAAAATTTTGATGCAATTTTGGTCGGAAAGTTTCCTGAAATTGACGATAGTTTCTTGTGATTAATAATTCTAATTTCACTTAAGATAAACACCACATCTTAAGGTTTGCATGGTTTTTTAAAGGGTTTTCACAAAACATAATGAGCCTCTCATGTTCATATTTGATCCAAACATCGGAACGAATTGTATATTAGATATACATTCTATGTTGGAGGTTCCAAGTATAATATATATTAGGAAAAACATATGACTGCTAGGTGATGGCGGAACCTAGTGCTTTTATAAATTGGTATTTAAAAACTCTTTTCTTTTATTAATTTTGGGCGAATTTACTATTTTTTTAATTAAAATTCGTTTTTAATATTACATGTCACAGCCAGTCCTGAATTATTTTTATCGGTGGTGTGAAAAGTCTAAAATGCCGTTGAGCGTTGGGTTGTGTTTGTGAATTAAGCTAAGGTTTTGGACCAATTAAGTTCATTTCCTAACTGATTAGACCCAATTAGATTTTTTTTAAGTTATTTGTCTTTGGTTGGGGACCAATCTGGACCACACACACATACCCTTACCCTATCCTGTTGACTCTCTCTCCTCCCTCTCGCATTTTCTACCATTCCCGTACAATTGTACAGACAAACCTTGAACCTTCACTTCCATCCTTAGATCGAACCTATGGAGACCATTTTTAAGTTCCTTGTGAGGCCAGGAACCCATTGATACTATTATTTGGACGTGAAGCCTTTATTTTCCTGAAAAACCATAATCTATGATTTGAGCACTCTTGATCCACAAAACGGAAGGTCTTTGAACAACGTAAATCCGACCGTGAATCTGCAAGAAATGTAAATAACACAAGATGTATCGTGGTTCACCCCAAGGTTTGGACTACGTCCACACTGATATTGTATTTATCTGAGAGGTGAGGGAGAGAACCTCTGTAATGTGAGAGGGGATGTAAGGAGGCTTCTGAGGGTGAGAGGGCCTAGGAATTAGCCTCTCTTAATTGTGAGGGTGATGAGTCCTTTTATAGAATAAGGGCTCCTCACTTATTACATATTTACTCATTCCTTTATTACATAATTACATTTAAGTCCCCCAAGTATTTGTACGAGATCTAAATACGGAGGCCCTAAGTATGGTATAAACAGTAGTCCCCCAAGTCTTCAGTCAAGAGAGTCTTTTGGCTGGAGACTTGAAATTCAGTCCATGTGTGGACCGAAGTAACTAGATGTTATCTTGAACTGATGATCGATATGAGGCGGTGCTTAATCTGAAATGATGCTCAACAAGAAGTAGCACATGCTGCGAGGCTGCTCGGCTCGTGGCTTATGTTGCCTTGGTTGGCTCGGCTTGTGGTGTTGAAGGTGAGGGAGTCTCTTTTATAGAATAAGGGTTCGCTCTTCAATACATGAATGATGGGCTAAAGTTGATGCTTTCTAATGATGGTGAGGGAGTCCCTTTTATAGAATAAGGGCTCGCTCTTCAATACATAAATGATGGGCTAGAGTTTATGCTCGCGGCAATGCGTTTGCTCAGTAGGCGGTGATGCTCTCTAATGAAAGTGAGGGAGTCCCTTTTATAAAATAAGGGATCGCTCCTGAATACATAAATAATGGGCTAGAGTCCCCCAAGTATTTTTCATGAGGCCTAGTTGAGGCCCAATATATGGTACATAATGTAGTCCTCTAAGTCTTCGGTCAATAGAGTCTGTTGGCTGGAGTCTTCAAATTAAATCCATGTATGGGCCGAAATGGCGGTTGTTCGGAGGCGGTATTTGTATACCCTGCACTGAAGCTTTGTAGGTGAAGCTTTGCAAGTGAAGCTTTGAAGCTAGAGCTTTGTAAATGAAGCTTTTGAAGTTAGAGCTCTGTAAATGAAGCTTTTGAAGTTAGAGCTCTGTAAAGCTTTTGAAGCTAGAGCTCTGTAAATGAAGCTTTCGAAACTAGAGCTCTGTAAATAAAGTTTTTGAAGCTAGAGCTTTGTAAATGAAGCTTTTGAAGTTAGAGCTCTGTAAATGAAGTTTTTGAAGCTAGAGCTCTATAAATGAAGCTTTCGAAGTTAGAGCTTTGTAAATGAAGCTTTTGAAGCTAGAGCTTTGTAAATGAAGTTTTCGAAGCTAGAGCTCTATAAATGAAGCTTTTGAAGCTGATTGACATGAGTGATGCTTATGAATGTTTATGTTGATTGACATGAGTGATGCTCATGGATGTTGTCATGAGTGATGCTTCTGAATGTTGACATGAGTGATGCTCATGAATGTTGACATGAATGATGCTCATGAATGTTTATGTATGATTGATATGAGTGATGCTCATGAATGTTTATGTATGATTGACATGAGTAGTGCTCATGTATAATTTTTGAAGTACTGGGCGTACTTTTGATCACATGGTTGGTGATAATAGCGGCAGGCTGCCGAATAATTTGGAGTACTGGCGTACTTTTGATCACCTGGTTGGCGATAATAGCGGCGGGGTGCCAAATAATTTTTTATAGTACTAAGCGTACTTTTGGTCACTTGGTTGGTGATAATAGCGGCGGGGTGCCGAATAATTTTTTTGTGGTACTGGACGTACTTTGGTCACCTGGTTGATGATAATAGCGGCATGGTGCCGAATATTTTTTTGTGGTACTGGACGTACTTTGGTTCACCTAGTTAGTGCTATTTTGGGCTTATGGGCCTTCGCCCTCCACACAACATTCCAACCCATTTATTTTGGGCTTTGCCGTTTTTTTTTTAAACCCTCTGATGGGGTTTATAGGGATATCTCTGAAAGATAAGAAAAATAATTTACATCATTCAGAAACAAGAAAAGTAAATCACATCATTCTGGTAGGATGTTTATTCCTCACTTTTGCTTTCTCTTTTTGCTTTTTCTTTTCTGCTTTTGTTTTTGGTTTCGTTTTCTCTTTTCTTTTATGCTTTTGTTTCTTTTCCTCAGGCTTTACTAGTGGTCTCCCCGCTCCTTGCTTTTGCTTTCTGTATTCCTTTTTTGACAGCACTTGCTTTTCTTGCTTTTGAGATCCACCTTGACCAGAGCATCAAATGCATTGAAATGAGTCATGGTCCCGCCCTTCACATGGTTCAGGGACAATGATTACTTCACATGGTCTCGCTCTTCACATGTTTTTCTTGCTTTTCTTCCCATTTTTGTGGTTGAATGATTTTTCTTCACCAAACATACAGGGTGAGAATGCCGAACTGTCAATCACTCCGATCTTGGATGAGACCTTTGAACCACTAACAATGGCAGCAAATGGCCTTTTGGGGCTTGATACTGCCCCAACGAGATAGTCGAGTTCCTTCTGCAAAAGGAAATCGGCTACAGATGGCCTCAAGAATTTTGTGATTCCCTTAGTTGAGGCATGAGCTCTATGTGTCCCAAATGCATCGTTAACATAAAGATCTGCTAAAACGACAAGCTTTTTTGCATGCTCAGGATCATTCTTCTCTTCTTCCTTGTAAAACCTCACATTTTCAAGAAGAAAAACACCACCTTTAAGAAGTGAAGCCATCAGCTTCTCTACTTCTGGACTAATAGAATCCTCAGCGTCGCCTTCGTCGTCCTCGTCGTTATCGTCGAGAAGCTGTTTCTCCAACTCTTGCAGCTTTTTGCTAAACATCTTCTCGGAGTCCACACCTCGGGTCTGAACCGGGTTGTTCTAAACCGGATTGTTGGGAACCAGATTGTTAACATATGACATCGCCGGTGGTGCTGGCTGGTTAATGGGCTGAGGTCGGAGCTGCTGAGGCATAGGCAACCCGAGTATTTGTACAAGATCTAAATACGGAGGCCCTAAGTATGGTATAAACAAGCACTGTTTATGCAATCGTAAATGTGAAGTTTTTAGGAAATTTTAAGCTGCCAGGAAGCTTTAGGACGTCTTCGCGAAGCTCGAAGAAGAAAAATGAAGTGTTTTGGACGTCGGGAAGTTGAGTTTGGCAAGTTTCAAGTTTGGTCGGAATATCGAGGCTTCTTCAGCGAAATCCTGTGGATTTCAGGGCTTAAAATTGGTAAGGTTTTGTTTTACTCGTTGTAAGCTTCATTTTGGTACAAATAATTTTGGTTGAGAAATGAAGAAGATATTGAAGTTCTAAGATTTTCCAGTTTCCAGCGATCGCAGTGGCACCGACGAACCAAGGAAGAAAGAGGAGAATATTCCGTCAAGACGGAATATTCTAATGCTGTCAGGTATAATTAACAGTATATTCTAGTTGTTAACGGAATATTCCCTAACAGCGTTAACTATTCTGTCCCATGTGCCAGGCACGTGCCTGCGCGTGGGCCGTTCGTTTGGCCGTGCCTTGGTTAGCGCGTGGGGTCACGAAATTATTTTCTAAAAATATGGGGATGTTCCTGAGGTTGAGTAGGTCATGGTGGTATATTCAAATACCTCATTTGAGCAATGTATGATAAGTTATTTCCTAGTTTTGTGTATGTGCTTTAAATAACGTTTATTCAGTTATTTTTTTCATATAGGTGAGACCTATCCTGAGGACAAGCGCCATTAATCGAGGCTCGGGGGCTACGACCCTTCGACATATTAGTGAGTGGGCTTTTGGTTTTCAGTATATACTTATATACTTGGTATTTTTTCCAGAAAATGTGTTTAAATGAAATTGCGTTTTGAAATGCCATGCAAAGTATCTGTTTATTTTATTATGCATTAGTAGTTGCATATACTTATGATTGGTGCTGCGGATGCACAGGTAAGTTCATAAATTAAAGATATGAGATTGCTTCAGTTATGCAAGATATGATGTTGTTGGAAGTATGCCCACAAAGCCACTCATTTGATGTAATAGCTTTTTGGAATACTTATTGTGTTAAACTTTTATATGTTTAATGGGGGGCAAATCTTATTGTTAATCACTATTTATTGTATCATGTGTTTAAGCAATAAGGGAATCCAAGGAATGTATTTGTTCTAAGAGATAAGTGATCTAATGAGTTAGATTATCGAGACCTTTCTCTTATGTTCATTCCTAAAATGTTCCTAGCCATAGGATTGCTAATTGGGCATTGACAATCCGCTAAGGCTAGTATGTGTTATGTTGACTCAATCGTGAGTATAACTAGTCTCAAGTCATTTGGTGTTGGACACTAAGACAAACATATAGGTGCTCAAAAGAGTACTCGAGTTCACTGAACTACGATCAAAAGAGAGTTCGAACATACATGTCATGTATGAACTCTAAGGTTGCAATATGCAAATTAGTCCTTTGACCTGAGGCATCATAGATGTCTAATGGTTAGGTCCTTGATCTTTGATCATGTCAACGGCATTCCTTTGGAGTGTCCACGGCATTGTTGGGGTCAAGCTATCTAGTCATGTAGGCATATGAATGTACAACAAGGGATCTCTAACCTTCCATGGTGGAGGGAGAATACTCTGAGATATGATTCTAAAGTCTTTGGCCAAAGCAAATGAATATGACTTAGGAAGTTTGTTCCAAATCATATTCAAGGGAATCATATAGGAAAGTATCACATTGGATAGTAGACATGAAACAAACTATCACTTAAACAATGTGATTAAGAGTATTGTATTAGAGAAGGACCGTATTGCATTGTAGTTGTAACTGGATAGGTTCTCCAACCAATTCTGCTTAGCTTGGGTAACCATGATATGCTGCTAGGCGTCACTCATGGTTTGTGGAAGCCCTAATGGTTAGCAAACACTAATCAACAAAAAAAAAAGGGAGAATTGAAATGTGGTTTCAATTCACAATCGATCGTTAAGAGTAACATCGCCCACTGCCTCACTAATTGGAACCTAATGGATCGTACACCGAGTAAGGATGTATGTGAAGAAATTATATGAAATGGATAAGCAATTAAATGGTTTAATTGAAGAATGGTAAAGATTAATTAATTAGTTAATTAATTATACGAAAGGTTCGTATTGGGCTTATATGTTGGTTTTGGGTTACGGGGCCCAAAAGCGTTTTGGTCCAAAAGGCCCATTATGTTTAAGTTGTATGACAACTAAAACAAAATGGGCAAATTAGCCCAATAACAAAGAATGGCCGGCCATTTAGGGTGAATGGGCAAGTTTGCTTAATTGCAAGTTTGCCACTCACCAAAGAAATGAAGTATAAAAGGAATTTTATAGCTTTATTTTTATTAAGGGGTTTTCTAGTTGAAATTGGGGGAAACGTTTACTCCATTTTCTTCCAAGAGGCCAGCCACTAAAGGAAGGGACATCTAGCAATCTCTTCTTCCTTAAGTCATCCATATCATCTTCACAAAATACATCCTTGGTGTAGAGACTTAGAGACATCAAGCTTTTGGTGTTTTGGAGAACAAATCCTTATTTCCTCAAATCTTCAAAGGAGCACTAAAGGGAGGAAAACACAAGGAGGATTCAAGGAGCTTGGAGGTGACTTGAAGGCCCTCCACTTGGGTGAATCCCTTGTGTAAACAAGGATGAGCTTCAAGGGTAAAGAAACTCTAAATCTTTACTTCTCTTTAATGTTGTTAAAGAGTTTATTTTGGTTCACCATATACTAGGCTTTGAAAGTCATGGGTTTTATGAATTGTTTTTGGATGCATGACTACTTTAAAGTGTTAATTGCTAGCATATGTATTCAAATGTTCATACTTGTTCTTAGCTAGGACAAAATATTTCCTTCAAGTGGTATCAGAGCCTAGGCCTAGTTTATGGTGAATCCTTTTGGGTTTTGTGATGTTCATATTTTGTGAAATGTTGTAAATGTTACAAGCTTTGTTCTTGCTTTTGAATATATAAATTTTGCTAGAAAATTTAGCATCTCAAATGTTGTAGATGTATTTCATTTAAGCATGAATATTGGAACTAAAATTTGGTGCCATGTGTTTTGGGAAATTCGGCCAAATCCAAAGGGTGATTTTTTGGGTTCATGTTTGTCTTGTTAAAATGGTTTTAAAGTGACTTATGGAACCCCTAAGTACCCTAGGATAAGCCCTCTTTTGAGTGGTGAAAAATTGAGTTTTGGTGAGTGAAAACATTCATGGAGCTATTATGAGTTTTCATGGTGTTCTTCAATGTTCATGAAGTTCTTGCCAAGAACATAAAGTTTTGAAGTTTTGATTCAAAAGTTTTATGTTTTTCATAAAGTTTTGGTTTATAATTGATGGGTGATGATTATTGATGAAGGATAATATATAACTTAATTGTTAGACAAAATTTCATTATTGTTTGACAAAAATTTCTTACAAACTTATCCTTATCACATTTACATCACCTAATAAAATCAACTTGCAAAACTTTTTAGAAAATTTTCATTTATCCTATCCTTGGCCGGCCAACCTTGCAAGTGGGGTATTTTTGGGCCTTTTGTGCAATTACATAAAGTTTTGATACTTTTGTGTATTTGCATTTTGGCCCAAAAGTTTACGTTTTTACGTTAAGGCCCAAAAACTCTAAAGGACAAATTGTTTTGATCCTTTAATGATGGTTTTGCATTATTAAAATTTTGGGATCTAGTTGTAATTACATGAAGTTGTGGACTATTGTGTTTTTACAAAGTGACCCCAAAAGTTTTTGTATTTGCATTATGGCCCAATTGTTGTGGTCATAGTTTCCTATTGGCCCAAAAGGATGAGAACAAAATTGTTTTGTCTCTTTAATGAGAATTGGATTTTCATTTCATATTAGTTCCATTTAAATCAATTCTATGGATCCAAAAACCAATTGTTTAAAGTTGTTTTCTTAGTTAATATGATTGATTAAGAAAAGGGTGATTATGAACCAAAGGCCACGATAATTGAGCTATGTGATTGGCCGATAAACATTATGAATGTTTGGGTTTTAGTAGTGTAGATTTGAATGTAATTTGATTAATTCAAGTTGTTGTAAATGGACATAAGTCCATTATTTGATTTGTGTTGTAAAAGGGCATAAGCCCTTATTATTATTTCATGTATTCCTTTTGTTTATTTGTATGCAAAATGGAATAGTTGGGTCCAACGCCCAATAGGAAATAACGGTTTAATTGGATTAAACGCGAAACTAAAATCAACAACTATCTACCTTAAACCCAAGGTCCAACACAAGGCTCGTGTTGGATCAAATCGAACGGTTCATAATCATCCTAAAACCTAATATGACTATATAGTCCATATGAGGATGCAATGCATTCGTTAGTAGTTCCATATAGTCTCGCTTGTTTCAACGAAACAGTGGGAGTATTATATGCTACTAATTCATATTAACTTGGACCAATGGTTGTGATAGGCCCAAGTTCTTTTAATGTGATTAAAATGTTTTGATGTAGCCCAAAACTACTCCCTCGACAAACGAATATTAAGTTGATAAGCGAGAGATGTTTTGAACATCTCTTCATAGGCCTTCCACCGTGGTGGGCTTCAATCGTTTGTGACTCATACACCGTATTCGTCCAGTTCTGGGGTATGCAAAGTATGTGCTTACATTCAGGAGAAGCCCATAAACATATGATGAAGTGAAAATAGGCAACGAGTATGGCCAATATGGAGTTCTTCTGAGGTCAGTCTTGAACCCCTACTTGAACTAGCATGGTGGGAATAACTTAACTAAGTGCAATGGTGCTAATATGGAGTTCTTCTGAGGCATCATTCTCTAGAGGCCAAAATAGATGGGTAATTACAAAAGTTGTAAAT